AAACCCTAAACCCCTAAAACCCTAAAAGGTAAACCCTAAACCCTAAAACCCTAAACCCTAAACCCTAAACCCTAAACCCTAAACCCTAAACCCTAAACCCTAAACCTAAACCCTAAACCCTAAACCCTAAACCCTAAACCCTAAACCCTAAACCCTAAACCCTAAACCCTAAAACCCTAAACCCTAAACCCTAAACCCTAAACCCTAAACCCTAAACCCTAAACCCTAAACCCTAAACCCTAAACCCTAAACCCTAAACCCTAAACCCTAAACCCTAAACCCTAAACCCTAAACCCTAAACCCTAAACCCTAAACCCTAAACCCTAAACCCTAAACCCTAAACCCTAAACCCTAAACCCTAAAAACCCTAAACCCTAAACCCTAAACCCTAAACCCTAAACCCTAAACCCTAAACCCTAAACCCTAAACCCTAAACCCTAAACCCTAAACCCTAAACCCTAAACCCTAAACCCTAAACCCTAAACCCTAAACCCTAAACCCTAAACCCTAAACCCTAAACCCTAAACCCTAAACCCTAAACCCTAAACCCTAAACCCTAAACCCTAAACCCTAAACCCTAAACCCTCTAAACCCTAAACCCTAAACCCTAAACCCTAAACCCTAAACCCTAAACCCTAAACCCTAAACCCTAAACCCTAAACCCTAAACCCTAAACCCTAAACCCTAAACCCTAAACCCTAAACCCTAAACCCTAAACCCTAAAACCCCTAAACCCTGGTTACATGTTATTTCAGATCCTATAGTTGTCAAAAGTTTTTGCAGGAAGTAACCATGATGAGAGAGAAAACTTTAAAAATCAACTTTTAAAAGTCTTACAAACTGACTTTGGTTTAGCATTAACAATTAATTCTAACAGTTTGACTTTAAGTAGAAACCAGGTCAATATTCCCATTTCTGCTATGTCACAGGCACTTCTTCTCTTAGGTGCAAAATTGTGTCGAGTTTCATTTTTTGGTATGAAGTGGGAAATTCCTATTGCTGAGCTATAGATAGATTTTTTCATAGAATGTTACCATGCAGAAATGGGTCATACTTTTTCTCTTGGTAAGAATATCTATGACTATGGAGTCAATTTTCCAGAGAATAATATTATGCTCTTCAAGTTTAGTAATGCTCAATTACAAAGTCAAAGGATTATAGAAAATCAAGTATACGAAATGTGCAATGTAAAAGGATATGGATCATTATCTTTTAAGCCAAAGATAGACAATCGTATAGTCAAAGTCAAGCTCTATCAAGAATTATGCCATGCAATATTGGCTGTCATACAAAAGCAATGTTTAGATGATATGCCTAGGACAATTCGTACTATGCGTATTAGACTAAATCAAATGCGAGACCTATTAGCAAAGTGGGAAGGAATGTCTGAAGATATATCAAGAAATTGTCTTTTAGGCATGAGATTGGAGCTTAGTGTTCGTACAGAGAAAATAATAGATGGACGTAAACTTTGTAGTAATCTTGACCTTTTTGAATATTCTGGCATAGAAAGAGCTATAGGAGGTCATTTTGATATACGAGAAGGATCTTTACAAAGATTCTTTCAAATATGCCATAGTCATTTAGCAACGTTGGCCAATGAGATTCATGGAAGAAATTCATATGCACCTTCTATTCGAGTCAAGAGTGCCTTAACATTTGCTAGACAAGCAATAGGATGGAGTGGTAAGCATATGGAGCGACAATTTCAACAAGCAAGAGACTGGAGAAGTGCCCAAGCAAGTCAACAAGCATTGATACAAGTGGGGCAATTCCTCTACGATGGTTGGAAGCAAGATGATCTAAATATTCGTCCTCTCATCTTTGAATTTCTTCACAATGCACATTGGTTTGTTCATAGTAGGGTCGTAGATAGACGTGTAGATGGCTTGATGTTAAAGAAGACCAATAGTGGTGCATATTGGAAAAAGGATGGAGTGTATGAAGATCGTGTTGGAGGAGCTCGCCACTTCATTCAAGAATATGGTGCAAATTGGCGGAATCATGTTCAATCCATTGCATAGGCTTAGAACACATATAATATAAAGTTAAATCATATATACATATAATATAAATATGATATTTTCCAAAAAAAAAAAAACATTTACTTATATAAATTATTCAATATATTATTATAATGTCCAAAAGTCTCTATGTATTTATTTCATATTTTTATAATATTTTTTTCATATATTAATAAAAGGCAAATTTTGCTATTTTGAAAATCTCATATCTCCTAAACTATTAATTTTCTGAAAATTTTAAACATACCATTGGAATCAGAAGCATGACAAATAGGGGGGTAGGTCAAATCAAAAATTCAAGACAACAAAGTACACAAAAAGTCAACAGAAAATTGTATCAAGTCAAACGCCTTATATCTCAAAATTGAAAAACATGTATAGGATTTCAAGACCATCACTAGATTCCTAGACCCTTAAAATAGGGGGGTAGCTCAAATCAAAACTTCAAAATTCCTATTCATATGCAAAGTCAACTCAAAAGTCAAAATAGTCAAACATTTAATAACTACAAACATATGCGCCTTTTCAAAACTTCAAGCACATATTTATAATTGGCAACCCTCAAACAAATCCAATGGACTTTTCAAAAATTTCAAAAAGCCTTGTATGACAAAAGTCAAAACCCTAAACTCCAAGTCAAAGTAGCTAAATCTTCCAAACTATAAACTTGTATAGGAAAAGAATTATACCATTGACATCCTAGACACCATAAATGGGGGGGTAGGTCAAGTCAAAATCCAAAAATAATGATGCCCAAAAACCGGGGACACCCTTGTAACCCTAAACCCTAAACCCTAAACCTGGTTTTTTAGAATTTAGAATTTATCCACCCTCCCTATTTTTAAAAGTTGTGGTTCCAATGGTGCAATTAACTTCACTTATACTTTTAGCATTTGATAGATATAAACACTTTCATTTTGAGATGTAGAGTTGACTTCTTTTTTTGATGAAGAATTTCAACATTTTGAAGAAACTTATTCCCCTATTTTGAAATATTGTGAATTTAGTGGTGTATTTAATTTTTCAAAGAATATATGATTTGAATGATATGGAGGTTTTAAAAAGAAATTGTAAAATTGATAAATTCTTATATTTTTGGAATTTTAGAATTTGGAGGTGACCTATCCTTCCATTATCAAAGGTTGTGATTCTAATGGAGTAAAAACATTTACTTATGCTATTTCTATTTGAATATAGAAATAGTAGAAAAGTACATCCACCGTCCCCTCTGCACATCATGTTTTATCAATGTATGTCTTTGAGCCCAAAAAATAGTGCAAGCCTACCTGCCTGCTGGCATCAATTTCTACAGATACATGTAACCCTTCAGCAACAGATACACATAACCAGTCAGAATCTGTCAGCTGGTTCAAATTGGACCTAGTCGAGCATGGATGCAAATGCATGATTCACAAATCCCTCTGTTTCTAGACACGCCGCAAAGTATCAAGCGCACGATAGCACTCTCCAAATGGAGAGTTGACCCTGCTCTGATGCCATTAACACGGTACTTCTAGCTGTAACACGATAAGTGAAAGTTCCTTGGACAAGGGCTTGCCTTGCATTTAACAAGGCAGAATACAAGGATATCTTGCATCATTTGCTTCTTCCCCCACTGCTCCACCATGTGTGAAAAAAAGACGCTTTAAGCGCACGCGCTCTGCCTCCTGTAACTTCTTGTTGCTGGTAATACACGAGAAGCCAAAATCCAGGATGCGGACAGTAGGCTTCTTTCCCCACACAACCATAATGTTACTTAAGGAAACATCTCCATGAAGCAACCCGCATGCATGGACTGCAGCAAGCGCTTCAAGCGCTGCAGTCTCCACCTCCCGGGTCACCGCCACTGAAACATAATCACCACAAAAGGCAAATAAATGACAACTCTGCCAGCAGATTGCAGGTGGTCAAAGGTATTGGCCCTTCAAAAAAAAAAAACACTTCATAGAATCACCATGCCCAGGCTACGAGAAACCCTCAAGACCAGAATACGGAGAGTAGGATGCTCCGCATCTGAGAGTTTTGCAAGAAATCCTACCTTCTCCAAGCTCAACACCGTCAATCAATTCAGTCGCGATAAATACAACCCGACCGTTATTTGTGGTTCCATATCCTATTAATCGAGGAACAAAAACCCCCCAAAGCTTCTCCATCTTCGTATAGGCAACCACCTCCTTCAGGAGAGCCTGCACAAGCGCGGCCAAAGATGGGCTGGGCAGAGTCAGATCACAAACAGGTAAGTGCCGCAAACTGCACGTGCACTTGAACACCAGCATGCTCCACGTTGCATCTACCAAAGACTACCTGTCAGTAAAGATGTCACAAACAGGACCTCTCCACCTCAGTCCCCGGATTAGATGAAGTAGCAGCCACTTTGAGATGTGAACGCAACATTTCCACATGACGAAACTCCGGCTCACCTCCGCACGTTCTGTGCCTAAGTGGGCAAACTTCAATGCAACAAGTTGGCCATGCAAACGGCCATTAACAACGCATCCACTCCACCCCTCACTACTTATGACACCGCCCGCCTTTTTCAGGTTCAGGTCCTCCGCGGGGACATCTTCCAAAGCCAGCTGCGCCCCACCCGAGCTATGTCTTTCAGACCTGCAAATGCAGTTGCTGTCATTTCACCATTTGCTCTCGACTACGTGTCCGACTTCATGGAACAAACTTTAATAGCTGGCTGGACAAGTTACCTTCGTTTTCCAGAGGAAGACATATTTTGTCTCACACGTGCTGTAAAGGTTCGATCATTGATGTCGTCATCACTGCTTTCGTCGGAATGTTCAGAGGGGGCAGCTTCATGAACTAAGGGAAATTGGCCATTCCCCGTTGGGTCACCAAACTCAGAGTTATCCACTGCAGCAGCGTGCACCAAATATGACAACGCAGCGAGCACACGCGGGGGCTCAGCACTCGCCGTAATACCAGCTGATATTTTGAGGCAGCCGTCATTATCCCGTTTGAAGAGATACCAATTTCTTGCATCGGTTAGAACACCGTAACCCACCTTACACCTGCAACTCAGAGCAAAGGGATAGCAAAATGAGAACTGCCCCGCATTCCATGTTGTGGTTTTGCCAAACGTAGATCGGAAAACCAAGACGGTACGAGAACATCCCACTGGCAGGACGAAGGGAGATACAAGTAAGAAGAAGAGAACAAGATCATCTTAAGTGAGTCAACGTAGAACCAGGATCAACAGGCAGTAGAATGCAGCTTGTTAGAAAAAGGGTTTCTTGTTTATTGGGATCGGAAAAGGCAAAGGCCAAGCACGTAAACGCTGAGCTCCAAGCGAATCTGGCCAAGAGGAAAAACTACCGAGATAATCAGGGGTTCAAAAGAAGCTTACAGAACCATGTACTCATACAACTGACTAATACAACGGATGATCTTTTCACCATGAGATGGCGTGATGCCACAAACGGCGAACCCGCACCTGCCCTCTCCTGCGATTATTGGAACCTCTGTCAGAATGCTTGCAACAATGTAAGAATTGGAACACACTATGAAAATATGGGATAGGGCCAGATAGAACCTGATGTGCAAGAGCAATCTGTCCAAACTCGGTGGAGAAACCAGGGGTCATCTCCGTCACTTCCCAGACCTTCATTCTTGACCTCGAAGACCAAAGCATTCTTCTCCCTTAAAGTGATTACGAAATCTGCTCTAGGGCTTCCGGAATAAACGTCAACCATGGCACTTGAACTCGCACCCTCACTCGATCCTATCCCGTCATTTCCCCCTTTTCTCTTGCTCAAGATTATGAATTCCGACTTAAAGTGAAGGTTACACTGCGGCTCCTTCTTCTGCATAAAAGATACCATTTCCCCCAGGATAAAAGCGATGTGATGATTCTCATGCTTCTCTTCCAGTCTAGTGTCCTGAGTGAAAGCGGTGACAGCCATTCGAAACACACGCCTCCTTCTATCTGCGCTTTCTAGAAATTCTTCGATCTCGTTCATTACATCCCAATGCTCTACTCTGACAGGTAACCACATCCGTGCATGGCTCGAGCTGCTTGGGTAAACGCCAGCCCGTGAAGAGCGAGTCGGCGGCACGACCTTCTGCACCAGCCACTCATATTCTGTGCCCAGGTCTGCATGCACAACACAACCTAAGATTGAACTTGATATACACGCACCTTCACAAGCATCACCAATCCGAGGAGGATCCAAACAGGTTCTAGGACAACCCTATGGACGGATCGCCTCCAAACGACCCACAATAAAGAGTACACATAACCCAGAACACCTAGTTCGGCAACAAAGAACCGGCTACGGAACAATCGAGGTCAATGAAGTAAACTATCCAATCCTATGCCATTCCTAATTCCACAACCATCAAATTAAACGTCCCCCCGCAAACAATAAAAAGACAAAAACCTGAGAAGATGGGCCTTCAATGACAAGTGACGAGTGATAGGAGTGACCTCGTCGTTGCAGGATTTGCGACTTCTCGTCCCGGAGTTGCGCTTTCTCATCCCGGAGTTGCGCTTTCTCGCCTCGCAGTAGCGCTTCCTTGCCCCGCAATAGCTTCCTCTCTTCATCGCTAGGGCATCTGTTGATCTCCTCTTCCAATCTTTCTATCTTCTCTTCCACTAATCTTATCTGCTCGTGCACACGTCGAATCTGGTCGTCCAAGCCTCGTATCTGGTCGTCCACGCTTCGTATCTGCTCTTCCGAATTTCCACCACTGTCAGCCATTCTTCTCCACGGCCCAATTCAATAGGCAACCAACGAGGCGAGCCCGATCTGAGGAACACGACCCCCTATACCCCCAGACGATGATTTCTCCACGCTACTCTCAGAGCACAAGTCCTCATCACCGCTTCCACCAACTTCAAGACCCCTTGCACCAGCATCAATGTGCAGCAAACTTATCTATATCAACGTCCAGAATGTCCACCGGCATAAATGTCCAGCACCTCACGTCCCAATCGTCAGAAAGAAGTCGCTGAGTTGAAGCAAATGAGACGAAGTAGACCCTAACTCGAAACCTCGACGAGCACCCCGATACCCAGATCAAAACTGTCCAATACCCACCTAAACCGAATCCCAAACCACGTTCAAACTATCACTTAGCCAAACCAGTCCTAAAGTAGGTACCGTATCTTGGAACGCCCGTTATTGCGTTGGTAAAAAGCTGGGCTCAACTTTAACGTGTTCAGGTTACAGGGAGTCTGTGTTTTTGAAGATTTGTGAGGATCCATTATAAAATACAACTCGGGAGAAGAATGTGGAGGTGATGTATGAACAAAAGTTGTTGATGTTGAATTTTACACTACATCTATATGGTTAGATTTGCTATTGCTATCACCAATATTTTAATAAAAATTTGAAACATAACATAAAAATTATTTCTAAATTTCCATTACAAACAAAGAATAGGCCAATTTTGCATGAAATTTGTTTGAATGGAGTTGAATTGCGACATTCCTAATGTGGTAATTATTTGGAATTTTCATTCTATATAAATAAAAACTTGTTTTTATTTATGAACTCACTTGTTGGACACTTTATAATTGAAAGTTATGTGAATCAAATTGTCACATACTTTTATTCTCATAGTCCTACTCAATTTTTCTATTTTTCATTCCACCAATGACAAAAGATTGTGGTATTTTTTTTATTTTTATTTTTACATTAATATGATGAATTTTGTCTATATAGACCACTTTGTATGTCAATAATTGGTAGGTATATATAACTTTTTTTAAAAAATTGATGGTAAATTTTTTAATTGTAATGGTATTATTACAATCCATTATTATCAAGGACATGAATATTGACGAAATGAAAGATCAAGACACTCTTGTATCACTCAAAAAAGATTAGATAATCACTCAAAGATGGTATAATATTAAACTAGAATAGCTATCGCCAAAAACAAGAAGATTGGAAAGTCTTGAAATAAGACTAAGGACTAGAAAGAAATTGACAAGAGTGAAGAAGGCTTCACTCTTGCCACTATATATTCTATCTAACTAAAAACTACATGACAACATTCTATAAGACCTTCAACATGTGTTCAAATTGCGAGACACATGTCTTAACTTGCAAGGCAAGTATTCTAAATATACACCACATAGTTAGATTGTTCCACAACCTACCAATACATATCACATTTGGCCAACTTGTTGACTAAGTTTCAAACTTACAAACATATATAAAATCAAAGCCGCATCTTCAAAGCTTCTCTAGAAGATATTATAAAATTAATCTATTTTTATCTACTTCTATTTAATCATATAGGTAATTATTGGAATAAATATGTATGTCTATGATAGTATCTTTCTGCTAAGGATAAATTCTACGAAGAGTTGTCAACATAGATTGGAGAAGTTTAAGATGTGGAGAATCACGTTTGATAGATAGTTTGATCTTTATTGTTTTTGAAGATAGTTGATAGGTCATCTGAGCTATCAATAATATTTCAAACTAAGGCAGAAAGACCACCTTGTTATTTGATCATTGTTGAAGCCTTCATAAATTCTTCCAAAAAAAAAAATTGAAATATTGTCATAAGACTTTTCTATCTCTAATAAAATCACCAAACATTGGAAGACTCTTCCAAGGTCATGATACTAAACACATTGTAGCTTACCGTCTATTCAAAGAAAAACATCTTATTCTTGAGGATCTTCAACTTGATTATGTCATCTTAAAAGTTATAACAATTGCAATATCTAATCTAGTAAGTTAATAAATGATAGTTCTTGAATTGAATCTACTTGTTGTTGATTTTCCATTTCATTAGTGCCAAAATTATATAAAAATAGAAACAAGGATAAAAGATAGAATGCTATCTTTTTTAGATCTTGTTTCTTTTATAACAATATTTTTTTAATCTTTCATCTTGATTTTGATCAATGTCATAAATAAAAAGCCTCAATCTTCTCTCATGCATTTGCATGATTTTTTTTGACTTCCATGTTCATTCACTAATATTATATCTATACCAATGAACAAGATGTTTTAAATTATTTTGGTACTGCCTTGAATCTTAGACTTCTTCCACCTCAAACTCTTGATTATTATCCGCTTCTATAGAAAGAAGTGGCATTTATCTTTTTTGTGAGATATTCACTATCTTATATTATTTAAAAAGAAATATGTAGAATATGGGATAGAATTTCATAGACTTTGGTAGATATAATCAATAAGCAAAATGATTGGAATTTTTACAAATAGAAAATGGTCTAAACTTATAATAATCCAACTTGTTAGAAGAATGGCTAGTCTTAATATTGTGTTGAAGTTATTGTACCTTATTAATAACATAAAATTAAAATTACTCTTTGTGATAGGCATTTGTATTAGTCTTTTATTATTCTTGAACTTCGTATAATTGTAGCTATATTATTATATGTAGCTCACATAAATGATTCACCAAATCTTTTGTTGTAGGATTATTAACTTTTGAGAAGTCAAAAACGTCAAATTGTAGATGATAACCATAATTAATAAAAAAAAGTATTTATTGCATAAAAGAATGTATTATGTTATTATAAAAAAAAATTACCAATGTCAAAAGAATTGTCTATTTATCTTATTGTTACTTGATAGTATATCTTAAATGTAATTCTAAAACATCTTTAATGTATTTCACTTATCCATCAATTTAAAAATAAAAGATTGAAATAGCTTCATGTCCACCTTTAGAATCTTTAAAAGAGATTTCTAAAATCTTGATATAAATTGAGTCTTTTGCATCAATATAATATCCTTGTGGAATCCTAAATAGTAAAAAATATTGTCAAGAAAAACTTTGGATAAGCCCTTTACCTCTTTTTAAGAGTTACTAAATCGTAAACCTTAAACCCTAAACTATTAACTTGTAGATAAGTCCTTTGCTTCTATATAAGAATCCTTGTCCTGAATCTTATAACAAATCTATCTCCTTGTACATCATCATGTCTCATAGTCCGACCAATTGCTATAGGACTTGTATCCATTATTACAACTAGTAGTCTTCCACATTGATAATCCACTTGTCTAAGTACAGATGGAGAGCTCAATATTTTTTTGAGATTTTCCACAGCTATCTCTTGTTCTTCTTTCCAAAAAAAATTCTTAATCTTTTTTAATAACTTGTATAGTGGCTCTTAAATATGAGCATAGTAAGGCACTCAAATGTGATAGAATACACATGCTTCTTAAAACCTTCTAGCTTTTGTAACACTTTTATAAGCCTTCATTCTTAATATAGCATCAATTTTATCAGGGTTTGATTTTCTACAAAATGTGCCACACATGTGTCCTACCACTAGAATCTCATCAACTCCAAAGCTTGATTTTTCTAAAGATAATATGAGATTAACTGATTTCAATGTCTCCAATATCTTAGCTACATCTTTAATGTGCCTCTTAACAAACTTTTTGCAACCTTTAACTTCTATATTCTCATCTTTGTCTTCTTTTCTATTTCTTTTTATAGATATATCATCCAAAAATAGAATATTTTTCTCAAGCACAAATTCTTTCAATATTTTGCTCATAGCATTTTGCATATGAGCCACTGAATTGGTTGCACCTTGAGGTAATATATATATCTTTATTAAACCTAAAAGAATCTTCATAGTAGTTAAATGTCTACTCTCCTCAGTCAATTGAAATTGATCATTCCAAAGATACAAGTCTCCAATATAATAGATGGTATGACCTACAAATTATTCAACCACTTTATCTATTATGGAAATTGATTTCATGTTTTAGATAGTTACTTTGTTTGTAGGTTGCATATCCTAAATGAAGCTTAATGTTGTTGACTTCTTGAGTACTATGAATCATCTATTAGAATAAAGAACAATTGAAGGTTCCAAGATATGCATCTTCACCTTTTCTTTTAATAATCCTATCAATTTTGGAAGGAAAGTTCTAGGCACAAGTAAAGGCTTTAAATCCCATGGAACATGTGGTACTATAAAGATCACCATAGGTACCACAATACTAGGATCCACACATTCAATCTCATTAAGACTCAAGGCTAATGTCTTACCATGTCTAATAAGTATTTCTTGAAACATATTTTTTTTCATTGATATTGAGAAATCATCTCTTTCAATCTTCAATTTAACTAATGATTCTTAAGCAAATTAATGTGTAATTTTTTCTCTCTCTTAAACTTTGTTTTTTAGCTATTTGCTTGATATACTCTATAGTACCAATTGATAATTGAATGGCTCTAGGTTTTACCTTTCTTACTATAATTTTATATTTAATGTATATTTTTGCCTCATGTTTCAATCTATAGCTTATAGTTAGCTCACTATTTTCTACTATCCTTTTTAACTCTTCATATATCTTTCTTGAGTTTATTTCTACTTTAACATCTCTATCCTTGCTTATAGCTAAATTTTCTAGAACTTTTATCAAATCATCTTTTATACCTATTTCTTCTATTATTCTAACTATAGCTTCATCATTTGAAACTAAATCCATTCTTTTTATAAAAAAATCTTATTTCTTTATCTTTCTTTTATTTATAGAATCTAAATCTTTAATCTTTTAAATATTCACAAATCTATTATTAATCAAGTTCAAAAATCCAAAACTTATATTATTTACATTGGACTTTGCAAACAATTTATTTACATCCATGTATCCTCATCCTACAGGGGTACTCTCTAAAAATCCACAAAATTATTTCTTAGCTCCAAAGACATCTTTCTTAATTTTTCTTTGTGCCTCTCATGGATAGATTTTACAGTAATAAATTACACAGCTTTTCTTCTATCCCAACTACGAATCTTGGTATAATGTGAATCATCATTCAAGATTCAAGTTTCTATTATAACAGTTGTAATATAAGGTTGACCAAGTATTATCAAATATGAAGCAATGTTTTACACAAAGAAATTTTGTTCCACTTCTATATCTCCAATCTTAGTCTTTACGGCTAAACAAGTTCAATATAAATCACCTTGTTGGTTTTTTGTAGCTCTAATTATTCAAGCATGGTTGATATCAATTGGCCACTTGTTCTTCTCATATATCTCCCTTAACATAATGTTGATTTTATTTCTATGATCAACTAAAGCCAAAA